GCTGTTTCACACACGTACCATGGTACCTGTCCACCAAGTGGAGGACAAGATGGTGCTTCGGAGTGAAGGCGATGCCGCGCACGGGGCAACTCCTGAGGTGGACCAACGTGCACGCCATGAGCTCCACTCGTGCTGGCCCTGGCAAAAGAACGGGATGCAAGCGCACAATGTCCAAGAACCGCCGCAACGATTCCCCTCCGTGCAGTAGAGCGGACCCGAAAACAGCGCTGCCTCCATTCACGTTCAGGGCGTGCACTGCAAATGGCAACATGTAGCCAACCTCCGCCGCCGTCAAACTCATGTGCCCACCGCTGTGATTCGGCTGCCGATGGCAATTTATACACTATCTCCTGTGTTATGGGGAAGGTTTGTGGGCCACCGCTGGAAAGACATCAATCGAGCGCCCCCTCCCCCCTGACGCACTATCATTTCTGGAATGCTGGCGCGGCCATGTTACAAACGCAAACATCATTGCACCCCTACTAGCTCATCGTGCGCCCTGGCTACCTTGACCCCATCCCCGTGTACCCCAGTGCGGTGATCGTGCATATGTTGGCACAAAGAAAAAAGCGCTGTCCTGCAATGTGAAACCTTTACGCTTCCCTAGCATCTTGAGGTTGAGCGTTGTGAGCCCGATCTGGTGGGGCACGTCGTGTTGGTCTTGCCAACCAAGTAGGTCGGCTAAAATCCGCTTGCAACCAAGGTCCAAAACTTCCTCAAGCCCCCCACGAAAGCCGAACGGATTCACAAGGATCAACCTCCATATAGCTGCGCTCACCCACCTCATGATTGGCCCGTAATACAGGCGATGCAAAGAGTCTATGGCGAGGCTTGCCGTCGGCGACGTCCCTAGAGCTCGCGAAAACAACGGGCAACGATGCCGCATTGCATCCATGACTTTGTTGTCACTGCTCATGGAAGGACGCCAAAATACAATCTCGAATGGCAACGTCTGCTTCTCAAGATTAAACGTGTCCCACAAGTGAACTGACGGCTCTAAGCGATCACGCTTTTCCAAGGCAACTCCGTTTATGATGATGTCTGTCACGATAATTCGGCCGTTGATGCCCTTGCCTTTTTCAAAACGAGTTGATTTCAGCAGATCTGCTCTGTGCTGTTCTGTTCTGATGTGGACACGCATCTCACACCTTGCGCACTCATCGAAATAATCTGCTTCTCTTCTTATCCTGAATGGCAGTGGTTCGTTGGGGGCGCACGCACCATGCATGCAGTGCATCTCGTCCTGGCTTGCCTCACAGAACTGGCACGCATTAAACACTGCCGACCATGGGGCTAAACCAAGGGACTTGGCATGTTCACTCCAGTCTCCTTTGATCCACAACAGCGCTCCTGTATACGAAAAGGCTTTCGGGCGAGCGAGCTCGTGATCGGCGCCCCACGGCCTGCCATCCGATTGAGTAGCTGGCCTGCGCCCTAATGACATTGCTTCGAACTGCCATGCCGCGGTCTGGAGATGCGGAAACAGCGTGCACCATCCTTTGCACCCGCACTGGCAGCTATCGCTGGACCTAGTGATTGACATAAAGTGCCCCTTTCCCGTGATCAAATTTATGGCCCACATGCCCAAGCTTGAATCATTCCTCCCAGACGCAGATTTTCTATAAGTCACTCCATCGGGGTAAAATGCGAGAGGCACTGGAAGGCGGTCTCCGTTCGCAAGGGCTTCTATGACACGGGGATGTTTCTTGTAGCACTCAAAATCTAAAACACAGGGGTCTCTGTCGCCAGGCGCTGCGTTCAGAATCCTGAAGGTGCGCGGATCTTCGGAGACTTCCTCCTCGATCCCTTCGAAAACACAGCGCACAGGAACATCGCGTGTCGTCCGCCGAGGTCTGCGATGTAGGTTGACTGGCGTGCGAACCATCGTCATGCCACTGGGGACTGGTAGTACTTTCGATAAATGGTCCCGGTATTTGCCTGATTGTTTCCCTGGAGCAAGTCCGTAAAGAGCGAAGTTGGCCCCTGGGACGCCAGCAACGTCGGCTAGATGACAACTTACGGAAAAGTCGAGAGCCGTAAGTTTGCACGAGGCGTAGAGTTCAAGTAGCTTTCGTAGTAGCTCGGAGCCCGCATCCTTGGCAGTCTGTGAAGACAAAATGCGCGGCGCCCCCCGCCTGTGGCTGCGAGACCTCGCCATCTGGTTAACAAATCAAACTGTAGATCTGTAGGTGGCTGTGCACAGACAGTAGGAACTTGAGCATGCGCCTCCGAGAAGTGATAACGCAGGCTATGTATAAGGTGTGTCTGCTGTTTGACATGCTGTGTAATGTGTGTATGTGCTGTTCGACATGCTGTGTTAGCGTCCTGTGCGCTTGCTGTTCTGTTTGTTGTTTATCATTCTTCGTGCTGTGTACACCCCTATCCATGATCGCGTTTCGTGCTGTGCGTACGCCCTTCGTGCTGTATGATGTTTTGCTTCGTTGTCTGGCAGGTGCACTTCCTTGTCTGCAGCCAGCAACCTAGACCCCAACAGCGCTGCGCTACGGACTCGTGCGTTGCACTACAAGTCTGACTCACGCAATCACCACTGCAACCGAACGTGAAACTTCTGCAGAGAGGAACTGCAGCTATCTCATCAAAGTGCCAGCTGCTTGCATTCAAAATGACTGGCCTTCACTGACGGAAGCACTGATTGCAGCATCTGCTGTAGCGCTCAACCCCGACTGTTGTCTGTTGGCGTTGAGAGATAACGAGCACAAGTTCCCCTGCTGGCCCGCGGCCTCTCGACGCAACAGAACAGTCTGAACCCTCGAACAAAGACCCTAAACTTCATTGTTTTTTATGTTTTTTTTTTTTTCCTCATTTTTTTTCGCAAAAATCATCGCTCACCGGTCGCTCACCGGTCGCTCGCCGGTCGCTCACCGGTCGCTCACCGGTCATCGGTCGCTCATCGGTCGCTCATCGGTTGTGATCACTGCCCTTTCGCCTGTGTTTTTACAGGGTTTGAGCTCGATCATCGGAGGCTCATCGGAACCAGTGAGCACCGATGAGTCACCGGTCGATCATCGGTCGCTCACCGGTCTGCGTTGTGTTTTTTTTAATGAGCGCTACAGCATTTCTAGCAAAATAACGTCGGCTGATTGCTCTGGCGCGCAAAATCTTTGAACGCTCATCCTCCTGGCCTGTCATCCTCCTGCTCTGCCTTCATACTCAATAATTTCGACAGCCGAGCAAACAAAAAGTACCTAGCAACAGGTTGCGCGCATGAGTATGCACCCGCTCGAATCATCAGGCGGCCCTCTTGGGCTTTTTGATCTCGTGGAGGCTCTTGACCTTAATGGTGAGCTCCTGAAGGTTTTTGTCAATCTGGTCGATCTCTTTCAGCTTGTGGAGGTAACTGATGAACTCCGAATCCGAACAAGTTTTCCTCACACTCGTCAGGGGCTCAGTCAAGGCTTTGCTGACTCCTGAGGTCCACACCTTGTGGCCCACCTCCGTGAGCTGCTCCGGAAACAACTTGCCGTCCTCGTCAGTCTTCGCCCAGGAGTAATCAGGATCATTCTCGATGTTGTACGCCAAGGTCTGGGCATGGCTGACCACGGTGTTGTGCAGCAGCACGGTCTGCGTTGCCTGCGTCATGAGGGCCTTGATACAGTCGCCGCCAGGGGACTCGGTTTTCTGCTCCTTAGGGTTGCCTTCGGTGGTCTCCTGCTTTCGTTTCTTGCCCTGCTTCTTGCCCTTGCCCTCTCCCTTGCTCTTCTTTTTGCCCGTCTCAGTGCCTGTCTCCTCAGTGCGTTCCGCGCCTGGAACGTCCTCGCCGCCCGTCTCCTGGATCTCGGCCTTCGAGGTCACGCCAGCAGAGTCCGCGACCTTACCGATGAGGATCCTCGTCTTGTCCTGGTTGCTGGGCTCGCCCGTCGCCAGTGCCTGGGGGGCGACCGTCGCTGGTGCCTGGGGGGCGACCGTCGCCAGCGCCTGGGGGGCGACCGTCGCCAGCGCCTGGGTCGAGTCGGCCAGCTGGCCCGTCCCCTGGAGGCTGAAAACCAAACAACAGATAACGTTTTATAAGTATGTCTGCACATATGTCATGCACATGCATCCATATGTGCATGCGTGTGTTTACGACTGTGTGTTTTCACATCCGCTACACCCACCTATAGCCCGCATGCGGGCTGGGGAGCGATTTTTTGCGAGCAATTCTCGCCGCAGAGTTCCTAAGCAGAACATCGGAAAGCTGACTGCAGCCCCGAAACAAAACAGGATTTCCAATCCTAAGGCAGGTTGCTCCATGCGTTTTGCAAATGATGTTCATTTACCGAATGCCTGCTCCAAGCGCCTTCTCTTCATCTCGTTGCTTTCGATCGTGTCGTCCGCCCATGCCTGGTGCTTGGACCACGCGACGCTGAACTCGCTGTCCTTTCCCTCCTCCACATACAAAGCGCGGAGCGCCTCGCGAGACGGGCAGTGCACAACCCAAGGCGCCCCCAACTGAATGGCCTTCAAGAAGTACCGAAATGCTTGAAGGGGCTGCAAACGCAACATCAGGCGGTGGGAGTCCACCTGACCCCCCTCAGGACGAATGATGGAGGACGGAGCTGGAGGAGGGGATGAGGGAAGAGGAGAGGGCGGAGGAGGGAGGAGGAGGAGGCAGGATGCGGAGGATAAGGAGGAGAGGCGAAGAGAATGCGAAGGAGGATTCGGAGGAGGTGGAGGAGGAGGGGAGGAGGATAATGAGGGCACTGAGGGCACTGGGGGTAGGGGTGTGTTTGTTTGCCTCTCGGCGTCGTCTTTGCCGTCGTCGTCTTCGTCGTCATCGCAGTCGTCATCGCTGAAAGTGACGTCTCCGTCGAACGTCGTTTGCGTGGCATCGACCATCGTCGTCCGTCGTCGTCGTATTCGTCGCCGTCGTCGTTCTGGAGCCCCCGCGCCTGCAACCAGCCCAATCGTCCTCCGCCCTACTTCTTGGCGGTGCGGCGGAGTGTCTGATATTGGCCTTTGCGCCAATGTGTTCGTTTGTATGTCGTAACTTTCCTCATCTCCAACTTGTAGTTCTCGAACTTTTTCATCGCCCACTCCCTCCTGAAGTCTTCCTGGGCTTGGATGTTGGGTCTCCCGTCGATCCTGAGCGCTTCGTAAGCCTTCTTACAGTCTGGGTGACTGCTCTTGTAGCGATCGAACCTGCCCGCCAGGACATTGCCCTCCTTGCCGTTCGCCGCGAACCTGAAGTCCTTGGCCCTCGCTGCCTGCCATACAGCGTACTCCTTCTTCTGCTTCTCCTCGAGGCTCGTAGGGTCGATGCCGTCCTCGTCGGGGCCCTGAACTTCGCCAAACGCGTTCTCTGCACCCGCTACTGCCTCGGGAAGCATGCTTTGAGGCGTTATGCCCTTCATGCTGTGCCGCTCTTTGACGTGCTTGCCCTGGAAGATGGCCATAAGATGGTCGTGCAGCTCGACGTCCAGGAGCTCGGGCTTCTCTGCCTTCTTGAGGATGTTCTGGAAGTTCACCTCGGAGCTCAGGATGACGTCGGTGAGCATGCGGCGGCGCTTGCTCTTCGGCGGTGTCTCCAAGTCTGCCTAGCGCAGGATTGAAGCTCACTGGGGCTCACCGTTTGCGATGAGCTCGCGATGAGCCTCAGTGAGCCCCCTTAAGCTCCAATGCGTTTCCTCGCAAGAGGAGACGACTGGAGCTCAATACACAAGAAAGCAGTTGGCGGTCGTTTGTCGTTTGGCTACCCCAGCCTGCGCGGCCGCGCCTCCTGCAGGAGCCAGCACTGTCGGCACAGGCTGCGTTGTCGGCACAGGCAGCGCTGTCGGCACAGGCTGCGCTGCCGAGGCAGGCTGCGCTGTCGGCACAGGCATCTCTGTCGGCACAGGCTGACCGCTAGCCGCTTGCTGGTCCTGCCAAGTGCTCGCCTTGCCTGGCGAGTTCGGGGCCCTCTCGGGACTGACGCTGATGCCACGTCGATGGGCCTCCTCCCTCGATCTCTGCATCGCCTCCTCCAACTGCTGGTTGTCCTCGTCCTCCTTTTCCTTGGCAATACGGGCGGCCTCCTCCGACTCCTTCAGCGCCTGCGTCATCTCCTCGTCTCCATCCCCACTGCTGGGCAGTGACTCCTCGACGTCGATGACATGCCCCTGCTCTGGTTGCTGCCCTCCATCTGGTTGCTGCCTCTGCTCTGGTTGCTCCTCGGTCGGCACTGGTGGATGCATATGCGGGTTGATCTTGAGTGCCTTGGCCGCCTCGGCCGCCCTGAGCTTCAGATTGAGCATCTTGTTCTGCTCCGCCTGCTCGAGCACCTGGCCCTGTAGCGACTTGATCAGCGACATCAGCGATGGCGGGGCGTTCGCTGCCTCCGCTGGGGGCAGCATCTCCTGGGGCGGCCCTGCGATGGCGCCAGGCGGTGCCTCGCCAGCGGGGGGCGGCGCCTCACAGGCGGAGGGCGGTGCCGCCGCCGCTGGCGCCGCAACTTGGGCCCCGACTGGCGCATCAGCCTGGCTCGCGTGGTTCGGCTGCTCTGCTGGGATGTCGTGCGGCGACTCCTTATCTGCGACTGTTTGCGTGCCTGCCTGAGACGGCGAGCGCCATCCTAGCTCGCCGTAGTTGGGCTGCCGATCAGGCTGCGTGTCTCCTCCGTCTGACCCTGCAGCTGGCACAATCTCCACGTCCAGATCCTCGTCCCACGTGGCCCACGTATCACTGGTCTGCAAGCGCGCGCCCTCGGCGGCGCCCTGGGCGGCGCCCTGGGCGGCGCCGTCGGACATGGGCGAGACGTGGCCCCGAGCGGATCAGTAGCAGACTGATGCAGTTCCACCTCAAGTCATTAAGATTGTTGAGCCAAAACGGTTCGGACGGAATGCATGGATGTCGGGCTCGACAAGCCCCCAAGATGCCCCCAAGAGACCCCTACACTGTGCCCCGAGGCCCCCAAGAGCGTTTCGACCAGATCCCAGCGTGGAAGATTGCAAACCATGCATAGGAGGAGGGGGGGGAGGAGCAGAAGGATGAAGGGGATGAGGAGGGATGATGGGAGGGGAGGGTGAGAGGACGGGGTGTGGAGGAGGGGAGGACAATGTGGAGGAGTGATGTTTGTTTGACCCGTAACGTATTTGGCAAACGTAGGACCCCGCAGTCAGCAGTTTTTGTTTATCACAAGCCCCATTGATTGCACGTGCAATGTGTATGACTTCGACATTTCGATATGGCCATATTGATGGCCTCTTGGACAGTCGGAAGGCCGAAAAGGAGGATACCCCAACATCCTTAGAACACCTACGTGACATCAATGATGTTTGGCCTCGGCGGGCCTTCCTGAAAGTCCTCTTAATTGGAGGCGTCTTGGGCTTTGTATTTGACATATGCCCCGCAGTTGCAGATATTATGCCGTGCTCCACTCAGTTTGACTTCAAGTGTTTCAGACAACGCGGTTAGAACGTCGTTGCCACCAGGCAATGCTGAAGCTCCGCTCGTGCGGTACCCTCGTACAAATCAGCCTACATTCACTGGAAATACCAGAAAAACTATGCGTGGCCCCATGGCCTCAGACAGCTGGCGGCGATGAAAAATCTGCTGAAGAACCTTGCACTGGTTGCATGAAGTTGGAACTTGGCACGACATACAGCTAGCACGAAACCTTGTGCTTGACCTGGAACTCGACCTGAGATGTTCAGCCAACTTCATCTAGGCTCTTCAACAGAAGACTGCAAAATACGGCACGAAGACTGGCACAAAAATTGCCAGCATCAGAGAAGTCGTCATCAATCGGCGACATCGGCGGCACCACGGGCGCAGGCGGCACCACGGGCGCAGGCGGCACCGCGGGCGCAGGCGGCACCACGAGCGCAGACGCAGGCGGCGGTGAACGCTTGGCCAGCGGCTCGGGAGTCACCGCGCCCTTGCGCGGTGACATTGAAAGCAAGGCCTTGGTTGCCGCAGGCTCAAGCTTGGGATCAGGCGAAGGCTTGCACACCTTCGCCTTCTTCGAAACAGACTCTGAATCCGAGGCGGCGCTGCTCGCTTGGCCACTCTCTGAATCAGCGTCATCCTTCTTCTCATTCGGATCCGCGTCGGCGCCCTCGGGCTCGGCAGCCGCTGGTCGCTTGTCGGCCGCCGCCGCGGGTCTCTTCATCCTCGCCGTCTTCTTGTCAGTAGCCAGGAACTCTCGCGTCATGTCCTCGCGCTGGGTTTTGTCCTTCTCGCCTGCAGCGAACGCCTTGCAGTGCTGAGTCACAAATTGTTTGGCACCCTCCTCGTTTGTATACCCCATCATCTGCATGAACTGCTTGTTCTCGTACCAGATCTGCAGCCACGACTTGCCAGTCTTGATGACCCAGCGCCCCATCACGTCGTTGCCCGTCTCGTGGTGGGTGCCGCGCCAGAAGACGTTGTTCCCCTTGGCGTGCTTGGGCGCACCGTCTGGCCTGTCGGTGTCATTCGCCGACGTGCCAGGCACCTACAGGGCAACTGAAAGCTATTATTGAGGATGATGGGAGGCACGGAATGGATGGAGGGAGAATGATGCGCAGGAGAGAGACGGAGGATGGAGGAGCAGGCACAGGAGTTGGCGGTGGGAGGAGGACGCACAGGGAGCACGGAGTGGACGGAGGGGGGAGGAGGAGGAGGAGGAGGAGGAGGAGGAGGGAGGAGGAGGGACATTAATTAATCAAGAGATGAGGAGGAGGAGGGAGGAGGAGGCACCTCCCACTCAAACTTGTCGGCCCAGACGGCAACGAGCATCTTGCTGCCCTCGCGAGGGCGAGCCACTGCGTACTCTGGGAACTGGCTGGCGTTGATGGGGATGCGCCAAGCGGACTGGGGGCCCAAAGCGTGGAGAGGTCAAGAGGCCGGCTCATCCCCCCCCCCCGAGGAGGGGGAGGAGTATTAGGAGGAGGAGGGTGAGAAGGAGGAGGAGGAGGAGGAGGAGGAGGAGGAGAAGGAGGAGTAGGAGGAGGACGACGATAGCGAGGCCGACGTCCAGGAGGAAGCCGACGAGGGGTTCGAGGATAAGGAGCCACCACCCTCCACTTCTTCCTTCCCCTCCCCATCCCCCCTCTCCACTCCTCCTCGTTCTCCTGTTTCGACGATGGGCTGACCTGCATTTCTTTCTCGCAGCCCAGTCTATAGCCGCGCTCCGTGACCATCTCCTCGTTCGTGAAGGTCGAGGCCTGGTCTTCGCGCCCCTTTCCGCTCTTCGCTTCCCTGTGCTTCCCTCCCGACCCCAAACCACCCCCCCGCCCCCCCGTTCCCGCCCCTCCTCCCTTGCCCATCCCGATCACCCAAATACCATTCACTCCACCCCGTTTCTCCCGTGCTCGTTCAGCCCTCCTCCCCATCCTCCTTCCTCCTCGTCCCTCTGCCTCGTCCCTCCTCCCCCCTCTCTTTATCCCATCCTTCCTCCTCATCCTCCTCAGCCGCCTCCCCCTGTCCTGCTCCCCCCTTTTTCTCCTGCTGCTGCTACTGATGCTGCTGCTGCCCCTCCTCCCCCTTATCCTCCTCCTCATCCCCCTCCTCCTCATCGTTCCTCCTCCTCCTCATTCCGCTCCCACCCTGGCCTTGGCCCTGACGAGCTTCTTCGCGCTCTCCGCTGGCTTGCTGTCGTCGACCTCCGCTGGCTTGCTGTCGTCGTAGGCCGCTGGCTTGCTGTCGTCGCTGGCCGCTGGCTTGCTGTCGTCGGCGGCCGCGGGCTGGAATTTCACGGCCCAAGCAGGGACTTGCTTCCTCTGACGGTGATCAAAATATTAGGAGGAGGATGAGGAGGACCAGACGGAGGAGGAGGAGGAGGAAGAAGTTTGATGATGAGGACGTTGGGGGGAAGCTCCGAGGAGCAGAGTTCGGATGACGACGTTGAAGAGAGCATGGGCGAGAAGGATGAGGAGGGCGAAGTGAAACCAAGGAGGGCGAGGATGAGAAGGAGAGAGAGAAAGAGGAGGAGGAGGATGACGAGGAGGAGGAGGAGGACGAGGATGACGACGACGACGAAGGAGGAGGAGGATCAGGAGAATGAGAACGAGTCGAGAATGATGCGCAGGAGGAGGAGGGGCTGTGTCCTCGATAAAGCCTTGGCGACGTGCCGCAGCATGGCCCGTATCATGCGTGCGCGGTCGTCAGCCCGCGATTTGTTCTCCTTGGAAAGTTTCCATATCTCTTCCATCGCGTTCGCCACGATAAGCAGCGCCGCCTTGGGGCGGCACGCTATTCCCCCCCTCCCTCTCCTCTCCCCCCCTCCCCCTAGTCCTCGCCATCTTCCTCATCATCCTCATCCTCCTCCTCCGCCCCCTCCTCATCATTATCCTCCTCCTCGTCCTCCTCTTCCTCTCCTCCTCCTCCTCCTTTTCCTCCTCCTCCTCCCTTCCACTCCGCGAGTCCCTCCTCCCCCTCCCCTCTCTTCCCCCTTGCCCTTGTCCTCCTCCTTCACCTTCTCGATCCTCCTTCTCCTCCTCCTCCTCCTCCTCCTCCTCTTCCTCCTCCTCCTCCTCCTCCTCCCCCTCCTCCTCCTCCTCCCCCTCCTCGCGATCTCGGCCTTCGCCGTCTTCTGAGGGGCGCCGCCGACGGGGGCAGCCGCCCTCGTCTCAATGATCAGCTTCTGGACCTTTGACAGCGTGTCCTCGTCGTGCGCGGCGTCAAGGTCGGTCGTGCACGTCAACCTTGGCTATGAAGGGGAGCGGAGGGACGGTGGAGGAAAAAGGATGAACACACAGCAATACCACACGGATGGGACGCAGTCGAGGATAGAGGAGGAGGTTTAGGTAGTACGGATACGAGGCGCAACGAAGAGGAAATGCGCGAAGAGGGAGGCGACTGAGGATGAAAAGGGCGAGAGTGTTGAGGAGGAGCAGGGGCCAGAGGAGGACAGATCGGAGGCTGTGCCTCCGATCAGAGGCTCCTGCTCCTGCTCCTCTGGCTCACGCTCCTCCTCTGGCTCCTGCTCCTCTGGCTCCTTCCTGCTCCTGCTCCTAAGGCTCCTCCACTGGCTCCTCTGACTCCTCCTCTGGCTCCTCCTCTGGGTCTTAAGGCTCGGGCGTGTCGGGCTCCTCGATGAAGTGCGACCACACGTGGCTCAGTGTGGTGGCGTCAGCCTCGCTTGGCTGGCGCGCGGCCCCAACCTTGCGCTTGGGCGCCATGAAGCCAAAATGGCTAGGGGAAGGAAAAGGAGAACAGCAGGAGCAGCCGCTCGAGAAGGGAGAGCAGCATAATCTCGAGCTGGGATGTGAGGAACAAAAATCAACTATTGAGTAATAAGCAGCGAGGGTGCCAACGCCTCCTCCTCCTTCTCCCCCTCCCCCTCATCCATCATCATCATCATCATCATCATACTGCCTTTTGGGCGTTTTTGTTTTCATCATCTGGTTTACATATCTCCATATCATCATCATCAGCTTTTTTGGCGCTTGTGTGGCATTTTTGTATTTGATGCATGTTTATGTGATGATGCTTGATGTTGCATGATAGGGGACTAGGAACAAGACCGCGGGACTATAAATAGGAACATACATAAGGGGACTAAAAAACTGTCCTTTTGGACCTCTGGGAATGCGAGACTTCATAAACGTCTTCCTCATGAGGAGGAGTACGTGGGCCCGTGCATCTTTGGCAACCCCGCTGCGGAGTTCAATCCGGAGTCGAACAGGAGCTTCTTACTGGAGCTTTGCATGTCCCGCGACTTGGCGGTCAGCAGCGCGTTCTTCGAGCACCGGCCTGAGGAGCAAGACACATGCTACAATGCCGGTCCCCGGCCATCAGATTC